ATATATATATATATATATATATATATATATATATATATATATATATATATATATATATATATATATATATATATATATATATATATATATATATATATATATATATATATATATATATATATATTTTTAATTGTTTTTCTATTCATGTTTTGCAAGAACTATGTTTGCTTTGATAGGCTGATTATGTTGTTTTTACAAGTGTTTATATTTCATCTTATGACCTTTTATTTTGGATTCATGCCTTTTGCCGTAAAATTATGAAAATATTAGAAGAAAAAAATACTAAAATTACCATTATTTTTGATTTTGGAACAAAAATTTAAGTATTAATGTAATTTTCGAAATTCCGAAATTCCGCAGATTTCGAGGTATTCCGAAATTGAAATGGATTTTGAAATTCCGATTTTTATGGAACGGAAATTGGAACATATTTTTAACTTCCGATAAAAATTGAAAATATTCCAAGGAAGACATTTCCGATCTATTCCGTCCGATTTCCACCCCTAGAAATGGCCAATTGGTCGCACGTGGGTCCGCAAAATTTGTAAAACTCCATGGAGTTATTCGGCATTGTTGTCGTTCTCAAAATTCAAAGCTTCTAAGAAGGTTTGATTTATTATAATTGATACATAAATCAACTCTCACTAACAATCGTTGATTTTATGACGAAGATTTAACAAGAAGACGAAGTTCCCACTATTTTCGAATTCAGACGAAACCGCAAGGAAAATAACGTGGTTACGTACGTAATCAGTAGTTCTAAACCGTTTTAATTAAGTTTTGTTGAGTTAAAGTATGCAGAGTTAGAATACGAAAGGAAGCATCCAGACCTCAGATTTTCTCATCCGACCAACGAACATAATAAAGGGATTCGTATTATTTAATTGCGATTACTATAATAATTAACTTCGATGATGTCACAAATCTTGTTAACTAATTACCTAGAAATCAAAAGATTTAATAATGTAATACATCTCTTTCATTGACTAAATTAGTCCTAACATTTTCCAAAAGAAACAAAAAGGCCAACCACTACTTGAGATTCCAGACGGCGATACATATATAGGTGAAAGTTACGTTAGAACGGAATTTTCAATATTTATTTATGAAACAATTCAATCTTTTTTCGAAATGCATCTATAAGCAATCTTTATTTATTTACTTAGTGTATAATTAATTAAACATTTAACTATATATAAATATAAGAGGCGCGGCCGATCGACCTATTCACCAGGTCTGGCCTGGGGGTGGGGTGAGCAGGGCTTACGCCCAGAGCTCCATATGGAGTCTGAAAAGTTTACTCTTTTTAATTGTTTTGAAAATAAAAAAATGTTTAATCTTCACTTGTTTATTTATATTATGTCATTAGATATAAATAAAATTCGGGGTGCTATCTTCGAACCCTCATATTAAGGGTATCATTTAAATTCTCGCACCGGGACACCAAATGCGCCGCCGCACCTATCCTGCTGTTCTAGCTGATAAAATGTTGGATTGTTATTGTTAAACAAAAGTGATAATGGAGTTTAATTTAGGTGGTGCTTGCAAGAACTTTTAAAACTAAATTATGAATTTTTTTCTGCTTATAATTTGTTTTTAGGTGTTTACAAAATAAACTTTTGCGTTTACGTCTCTAAAAAATATGTTGTTTTAAGTTATAATTTTATGGACGAATGACAAATAGGCACATGACAAAGGACTTAAATGCACATTGGTCCACAAAAACAGTCTTTCAAATAAACTCATCCCCATGTTTTTAGTCTAAATTAAATACCCTCCATAATATAATCTTAGAAAAAAATATTTTAATTAATATTATTGTCTGCTAAATTACTGTCTCAGACAGTAATATTATGAATATTATTTTTCCTTAGAAAAAAATATTTTAATTAATATTATTGTCTGCTAAATTACTGTCTCAGACAGTAATATTATGAATATTATTTTTCCGAACAGTAATATTCCTAATATTACTGTCCCAAATAGTAATATTATTGCATTACGGTCGGAGATACAATTGCTGCCAAACCCAGGCTAACAATCTCCCCCTCAGCAATTGCTCCAGCTGGGAATCGAACCCGTGACCTTGGCTCTGATACCACTTGTAGGACCTCAGGCGCTACCAGTTATCCCAAAACCAATTGGTGTTAGGAAAGGCGCAAACCCTAGCCTTATAGTGCATTCAACACACACAAGCGCCCACGACATTCGATTGTGGGCCGCCCATACCCGGGCCTCCACCACGTGGACAATTGCTGCCAAACCCAGGCTAACAAAATAACTGCTAGAAACAGTAATTTAGCAGCCAAGACAGTAATATTAATTAAAATATTTTTTTAAGAAAAAAAAGTCAATTAACAGTTAATTAAATTACTTTCTCCGACAGTTAAATAACTGATGTACCCAAGACTGTAATATTAATTAAAATATTTTTTTAAGAAAAAACAAAATAAAAAAAAAAAAAAAAATCAACGTCGGCGGTCTCCGGTGGTGGCGGGTCAAAATTGGGGTCAAATTGAAATTGTGGTTAAAATTGGTTAATTGGTTAAATTGGGCTAAATTGTGGTGTAAATCATGAAATTGGAGTTGAATTGAGTTTCAATGAATTAGGGGTAATTTTGGTATATATAAAACAATTTTCCTTATTTGCAAATAAATTTGAATGAACTGAATTTATTTGAAAGACAAGAAAGTTGGATGTCACTCTTTTAATTAAGTGCCCTTGTCATGGGCCTATTTGTCATTTGCCCTAATTTTAAAAATACTCATGTTACTGCTTAATCTATTTTTTGTTGATTTTCCACCGAATTCGCAAACACCACCAATTTTAAAAAATAATCACTTAATTTCAAACTTACAATCACTAACTTTTGCTTTTAAAATAAAATTTTGCAAATACCATCTTAAACCAAACATTTAGCTAACTGCCCCAGTTTCATAATTAAATTTGTGGGGATTAGCGACGATCTCAGTTTCTCTAGAAGAAGGCCCTAGGAGGAAATACGCACATTCTCATTGATCTCATTTGCTTTCTAATTATTATTATTATTAACATTATTAATATTATTATTATTATTATTTATATTATTTATTTTTAAAAGCTTTCTACTTAATTAAGGTAACTAAGTTTGACAATTCATTTGCCTTGTGTGGGAATACAGAAATTCGACAAAGAATCATAGATTGGGTGATGCAACAAAGTAAATTAGAAAAACATATCACGGAAAGTGACAACAAAAATAATTTAATTAGTTACTGGTGCCACGTGTTTCTTTCAAGTGAAATAAAAAAAAATTAAAAAATAATCAATGAGTTTTTATTAAAAAAATAGAAATAAATCGAGTTCATATGATTAACTTGTTAATTTATTTGAAGAGTCACAGCTTAAACTCAAGTAAATGTGTATAAGCTTATGAACCCAGCCGAGTCATTAACTTTTTAAGAATTACTACAACTCATAGTTTTTATATTTTTATAATACATTATAAGGAGGAAAAAAAAGTATTACTATTAGTTACAATAAGCCCATTTTATTTAGGGTGAATTGCAAAAAAAAAAAAAAAAAAAAAAACAAAAAAAGAAAAGCACCACAATATATTTACTTAAAATAGGGATATCCTACTTTTTTTTATTCTTGCAAATATCTCAATCCAATAATTTAGACCCAATTTACCAATTTTGACACCTAATTCAATTTTAAAAAGTATATATATTTAAATAATTAATTCATGAATTTGAATTTCAAATTTCAATTTTTGGCCTTAAAAGCAAAAAGTGATTATCAATAGAGATTAATCTGTAAATAACAAAACTATTATCAAATATAATAGTAATTTATAATTTGTTATAACCTTGACAAATTTAAAACAAAAGAAAATAAATATTTGTTAAATATTTTAATATTCAGTACAGTGCAATACCAGACATCAATACCGTAGAATAATGTAATTCCAAAAGTTTTTACCAAATAGCAAACCTAGTTTTTGGTTCAATATATTTGGCACGTAGCGATTTTTCGATTCGATTCGATCGGTTTAACGGGCGAGGGAACACCCCAAAGGCTCTTAGCTTTTGATTGAGCCGACTCAAACAAAGTCGTGGTTGTATTCAGTCGTCAGTGGCAGATTCACTCATGCCTACCGGTGTACAACTGCACACTCTTAGATATATATATATATATATACATATATATATATATATATATATATATATATATATATATATATATATATATATATATATATATATATATATTCCCTATTTATTTATTTATTTAATTATTTATATAGTTCGATGTGATGACAAAGGGACTAAATATATTTACATATACTAAATGGTAGCCTGAATGGCAAGGGAATTCATATGCATGGTTCAAACTTCAGAACCACTACTATTTCCCAAAGTATTCAACTTTTACACACCACTTTAACATTTTCAATGCAACTTTTTCTCAAAATCTTTCTATTTTTCTTTTTAAAATCCCTAAATTGGCAAAATGATCTTGCTAAAATGTGAAATATATTTGTATTTATGTGTATAATATTATTGTTTTATTTAATTTTTTAAATAGGAGCGTTGTCCTTGAATTCCCGTAAACTTTTAATTATATCATTTTGTTAAGTGTTATATGTATTTTTACTATTTTGAATTTAAAAAACTTTCAAATTATAAAATTCTGGATTCGACACTGTTGATCAGAAATCCACGCATGGGCAAGGGTGGACCCCAAAATTTAAATCATCTGTAGCAAATTCCAGGACTCACCACTAATTGTACTGTAAATATCAAATATAAATGGTGCACGTACACATTAATCTTATATATAAAAGAAAGTGACGCTAGAGTAACCTAAGGAACCCTATGACATATTTGTAAAAAAAAAATTAATTTGAAAAATAATAAAAAAATAAATCAATTACGCTCGGTGACCGGCGGAAAAAAAAATGGTGTTTTAATTTTGAATCTTTGATTTGGTCATCATTAGTAATTAATGAAGTCACGGACGACGGAAGCTGCTAAATCCCACTATAAAACCAAGCACTCGCATGCACAAAGAGAGCACACCAACTTCTACAATTCTTAATTGACCAAAGAAAATACAATTTAGAGAGATAAAAAATAAATACAATGGCCAAGAAATCAATTCCAATAATTGACATGCAAGATTTCTCGAGTGTAGCTGAGAAAATGGTGAAAGCCTGCGAAGAATGGGGTTGCTTCCGGCTCGTTAACCACGGAGTTCCGATCGAACTTATGTCGGAAATGAAGATGGTAACGCGGTCCCTAATGGATCTTCCGATGGAAATCAAGGAGAGGAATTCTCACCCGGAGCCCGGAAAAGGGTACACCCCACCCAACATGGCTAGCCCGTATTTCGAAGGCCTCAGTTTATACGACATGGCTTCACCTGGAGCTGTCCACGATTTCTGCTCTCAGATCGACGCCTCTCCTCATCAAAGGTCGTTTCCGCTTTCCGAAATTGTTACATGCATGAATTCTGATTTCTGATTCGATTTTAGTTTCTGAAATAATTCATTTTTTATAGTCAAATTAATTTAATGCTTAGGGCCACCGAAATCTCAGGACTGATCTCCGGTTAAACTTCGTTAATATATATATATATATGCAGGGAGATTTTGGACAAGTACGCTTTTGCTCTTTTTGATCTAGCACAGATCATTGGAAGTAAGCTGATGGAGGGGTTGGGGTTAGGTGGAGAGCTTTTCAAGGAATGGCCGTGCCAGTTGAAGATGAACAAGTACAATTATGCCCCTGAAACTGTCGGTTTAACCGGTGCAGTTATGCATACGGACCCTGGATTTCTCACTATTCTTCAAGACGATGAGATTGTGAACGGTCTTGAGGCCGTGGACGAGATTACGGGAGAGTTGGTCTCTGTTGATCCGATTCCCGAAACTCTTGTTGTCAATGTTGGAGATGTTGCTAAGGTATACGATTTTATTTAACTTCATCATTTTTAGTAGCGAAAAAGATATATATTTCAACGAAGAATAAAATTTCGGGTTTTTATGGCCCTAACATTAGTGACAAATTAGTGGAGTGAAGAAAGGAAAGATAAAAACTCACGAGAGTAATTTAGACTTTTTCTTCCAAGATCACTTAAAGAAAACATCAATGTATTATTGTTTAATATTACCAATGTAATATTATTTAATTTGATTTCTAGGTATGGAGCAACGGAAGGTTTTGCAATGTGAAGCATCGAGTTCAATGCTACGAGCCGAAGATTCGAGTCTCCATTGCCCTTTTCGTTTTGGCGCCTAAAGACGTGAAAGTGGAAGCGCCGCCGCAGTTGGTGGATTCCGGCCACCCTCGCCGCTACTTACCTTTCGACTTCGAAGACTACAGAAAGCTACGAAGTTCCACACAATCGCCAACTGGAGGAGCCCTCAAATTTTTCCTCGTCGAAAGTTCGTAAAAAAATTAAAAATAATAATAATAATAATAATAATAAAGTGGTGAACTATTGAATTGCATTATTTATTTGACCTTTGTTTAATGCTTATTGTTTATTTTAGTAACTATTATATTGGCATAAACCTAGTACTGTGTCTTTTGGTGTCGGCTTTACTGTTGTTGAATGAATTTATATTTGTCTCTTTCCGCCGTGGCTTTTTATTAGTCCTTACATTTAGGCCGATGATATTGATTATTGACATTTGACAAAGTGCCATATGGGAAGTTTTTTAATACATTCATTTTATTAAATTATCCCTATGAGTATGTATTATTGATTGGTGTTAATTTTTTTCATAGTTTATTACAAAATTCGGTCCACACGATATTTGTATTATTCTCCGCCTGCTTATGCAATGATTTTGTAGTATTTTATTTAGTATTTTTGATTTATTTAATTTCCTAATTCGTATAGCATAATGATTAGGGCAGCCAAAAATATAATATGTTATTGTTGAGAAATTAATAGAGAAAGAACAGAACAGGGAATTGAGATAGCAATATATAGATAAACAATTGTTTTATTCTCTTGTTCTTCTTGTGTCCAAAATACATTACACGGTGCTCTATATATAACGCTAGAAAGATCTCTCAAAGGTCATGAGTTACAAGACCGTAATGGGATCATCAATTGATATGATGATGTGATAATAATGGGAGTAATGGTGCTTATGGTGTGATAATGGTGGGAGTGATGGTGCTTAATGGTGTTCTAGAGATGAGGATGCATGTATTATTGTGTTCTATTAATAAAATCACAACATTTTTCTCTATAATTACTTTGTTAAATTAATAATCTCGTTTAAATATTATTTTTTTCGGTCCGACTCAAGGACAATGTGCTAAATTAATAACTCGTTAAATTTATAAGATAATACACACTCAAAAAATTTAAGAGGTCCCATATAATATATATAAATTAATAATTGTTGATGGGTCATTCTGGGAAAGCCTGGGTTGGGCCAAGAAAGCGAGCCGAAAAAGGAAAAACTCAAGCTGGGCTGGAGGAGTTTGTATGAATTGGGCGCCCGAATGAGCCCTTAAGGTGGGCTTGGGAGATCACAAGAGAGCTGGTCTGGAGAAAGTAAGATGGTGAGCTCGCCTCAGATGGAAAGATTCCTAATTTGAATTTCATGTATTCTACTTCTTCCCTCTTTTCTTATTACTACAACTCCACTTGGTTATTTTCGTTTTTTTTCCTCGGATTTTAACAAGGGTAAATGGCAAAAAAGGGCATGACAAAAGACTTAAATGCACATTGGTCCATTAAAAAAACCGTCTTTCAAATAAATCCATCCCATGTCTTTAGTCAAAAATACCCTCCATAATATATTTTTTGTCAATTTCATCCATGATGCTCTAACTTCCTTAATATTACACATTAACCTCGGATTTAAACAAATATATCACATTAACCCCCATTTTAATAATTTTTTTTTTTTTTAGAAAATAATTTTTTTCTCCGCCCAGATTCCGGTGTTGACCGCCGGAGACCGCCGTTTTCCGGCGTTGATTTTTTTTCTGAATTTTTTTTCCGGCCGGTCAATCGCCTTTGACCGCCGGTCTCCGGCATTGACATTTTTTTTCAATATTTTTTGAAATTTTATTTTTTCTTAAAAAAAATATTTTAATTAATATTACTGTATTGCCTAAATTACTGTCTTAGATAGTAATACTATTGTTTGAGACAATAATATTATGAATATTATTTTTTCGAACATTAATATTACTCATATTACTGTCCCAAACAGTAATATTATTACTGTCCCAAACAGTAATATTACGGTCGGAGACAGTAATATTACAGTCGAAGACAGCAAAAATGCAGGTTAAGACGATAAAATTAATTAATACAGTAATATTACTGTCTCAGACAGTTAAATTACTGTTGGAGATATTAATTTAGCAGCTAAGACAGTAATATTAATTAAAATAATTTTTTTAAGAAAAATAAAATTTCATTAAAAAAAAAAAAGTCAATTAACAGTTAAATTACTGTCTCCGACAGTTAAATAACTGCTGGAGACAATAATTTAGCAGCCAAGACAATAATATTAATTAAAATATTTTTTTAAGAAAACAAAAGTCAATTAACGGTTAAATTACTGTCTCCGACTCATTAAATAACTGTTGGAGACAATAATTTAGCAGCCAAGTGTTAAGTGTATATTCTTACACTTAATCGTACCTTTGAATTGGAGTTCTTGGTGTGTTTTAATGAAAAGTAGTGCTTAAAATGTTGATTTAATGTATTTTAGGTACAAATTGAAGAATTGAAAAAGTATGGTGTAAAAACTGCAATTTGGAGAAAATATGGGCGAACAGTGAAGAAGTCAAAAATCTGAAGAAATATAGCCCGAGACGGCCGTCTGAGAAATACACTAAAATCTGAAGAAATATTGATTTTAATTACGTTGACTTGTCAACAAATCAAACAAAATAAAAAAAAATAACAAAAAATAAAAAAATAATAATATTAGTTTAATTTACAATCAACGACAGAACAATTACATTAATGTATTGTCAACGGCAGTACAATTACATTAATTAACTGTCATTGACAGTATAATTACGTTAATTTAATGTCAGTGACAGCACAATAACGGTCAACGCTTCGCGGCGGACGTAAAAAAAAAAAAAAATAAAAATAAAAAAATAAAAAAAAAACTTAAAAAAACACTAAAAAGAGTTAACGCCTGAGACCGCCAGAAACCGGCGAAATCCGAAACAGAAGAGAAAAAAAATATCGAAAAAGTCAACGCCGGAAACTGGCGAAAAAATCCGGAAGAAAAAAAAAAAAAAAAGAAAAAAAAAAGAAAAAAGGTCAATGCCGGAATCCGGCGGCAAAAAAAAATTTGAAAAAAAGAAGTCAAAATTGAATTTTTGTGGTCAAAATTAGATTTTTGTGGACAAAATTGATTAAATTGGGATTACAAATTACGAATTAGGGGTAATATTGGCATATACATGAAGTTTCCTTTATTTATAATAAATAATAAATGGATGGGCTTATTGGTGAAAGAAATATAAAGATGGAATACATAATTATAATTATGCACAAAAATCCCTTCATAATATAATTATGTATTGGGTCCATTTGATATACACCCTTAATATGGAAAATACATAGGGATAGGTCCACCCCTAAAATTCTTCCTTTGAGATAACCCCCTGGAGAGACAAAAGTACTATTGTGCCCTGATATCTAAATTTTGCCCAACTGCATTCAGCATTTTTGCTAACTGCATTCAACATTATGGTCAACTGCAATTAGCATTCAGACCTGCATTTATCACATTGTCAGATTTTTTTAATAAAAAAATATAAATGTTTATTTTATTATTATTTTTATATATACCTCTGTTGTATTTTTTATTTTTTTATTTTTTTATTTTTTTAATTTTTTAAAATTGCTTAATTTTTTGTAATTTTTAATTTTAATATTTTTTAAAAATTTTAAAATTTTTAAATTTTTAATTTTTAATTTTGTTTCAATTTTTTGATAAATTTATTGTATTGAAATTAAGTAGACATGACTCTTGTATATATATTACATATGATTATAAAAACTTCATCTACACCAAAAGTAAAAATTCACAATTTAATCTTGATATTATAAATCAATTAATACCCAACAAAAAATTGGAAAAACACAATCATCAACATCACTGTACATCAGAAAAAAACACATAACTTATATAGCTTATATATAACAATATATTACTACGAGTTACTACACGTGACTATATATGACTACACATGACTATATATGACTACATGTATATGACTACACGTGACTATATATGACTATATGTATATGACTATACGTGACTATATATGACTACATGTATATGACTACACGTGACTATATATGACTATATGTATATGACCACGTGTGACTATATATGACTTGATAACGCAAATCTCTCCTACACTGAAACAAGTACAACCAAGTTTCGATCTGGAAAAATATTCTGCAATTGCATTACCCGTGCTCTTATTGGAAAAAAAGAACCAATCATAAATAAAAATTCATAACAAACATCGTAAAAAATTATTTAAACAAAACAAGAATTCACACCAACCTATGGCAAAAACTATTAAACCTTTCCATCAAAAGAAATGCCTTCTATACTAATTTTATCTATTTCTTTCTCTCTCTGTAACAAGGATTCTTCATCATCCTGTACAACAAAACAAAAATTCATATGTCACATACACTTTGTATAACATATAAATTTGAAAACACTGTCTTGCCTAGCACAAATATTTTCCATCGACTCGATTAGCCAAAAAGATAGCACACAAAAAAAAAACATATCCGCTTGAACCTCCAATTTCAAACCATCGATTCAAAAAAAAATATGGAATTTTTTTTAATTTATGAACTATCAAACGACATGAACTTTGTCAATAACCCAAAAAAAGGCAAAAATTCTTCTTAAAACTAAATGAACGCTGCAATACCTAATAATTTATGCATCATAAAATTAATGAAGCACTTCTAAACAATTATATTGCTACATTAAGCAAAGTGGAAAGAATATAGTTTTTTAAATGAAGTCAATTATTTACCCTGACAATTCACAATCAAATTGTAACATAATATTTTTACCGTAGTACTTGTATATGTTGTAATTCTTCTTCTTCTTCGTCGTCGGCGCCAGAACTGGCGAGAAAGAGTTTAATGAGAGAAGATCCGGCAAAGAGGGGAGTGGTGATGGGCGGTGATGTCGCCGGAAAGGAGAGTAGCGCAAGGCAAATGGAAAGCGGTGGCCGGCGACATTGGAGTGGCGGTGGGCAGCGGCGGCCGACGATGGCGCGGCGGTGGGCGGCAGTCGGGCTGTGGTAAAACGAGATTGAAGAGAACGGGAGTTGGGGAGAGTCGGCGACGGTGGAGTGGCGGTGGGCAGCGGCGGCCGACGATGGGGCGGCAGTGGGCGGCGGTTGGGCTGTGGTAAAACCAGAATGAAGAGAACGGGAGTTGGGGAAAGAGAGAAAAAAGAAACGCTGTTGTGAAGTTAGGGTTTTGCCTAGTAAATACATTAAATTGAAATTAACAGGGTAAAACAGGTATTTTAAATTATCTAGGGGGTCTAACAAATTAAGATCAAAATTTGGGTTTTTACCTAGGAAAGAAAATATTATTGGACCTATACATATATATTTCCAAAACTAGGGGTATATCCCTCATTTTTCCTTATGTATTTGTAATACGTAATTATGTATGGCGCAAACCAAGTTAAAGCAATCTAGAATTCGATGGAAGTTTCTTTTCTTGCAAAGATAATTAAATTATTGCTATTATTATAGAGTTATATTTAGACTAGGAGTCCTAGTTAGATTGTAACTAGACTTATATATTTTATTATAAATAGG